TAATTTTTAAATGGTCAGAGTATGTTATAATTGTAACTGTTGGTGGAATTTAATAATAAATGCACATTAATAAGTATTAACAAAAATGTTGTTTAAATTATTTTGGTGATAGAGTAAGTACAGTAAATTGATATTGCAGCGACTCAGAGTTACTAATGATAACAGTTTGCCAGTTAGAATTGAAACCCAGTGGAAAAAGCAGTTGGACCTCATAACTTTTTGAATACCAGTTGAACCAGTTGGAATTTAAACCTGTTGGAAAGCAGTTAAAAACCCATTAGAAAACCAGTTTGCACAAAAAAAGTATATGTAACCTATAGGGGCCTGTAGGATCCTAAAGGGGCCTATAGGATCCTATAGGTCCCTATAGGATCCTAGTGCCTATAGGATCCTATAGGGGCCTATAGGATCCTATAGGTCCCTATATGATCCCTATAGGGGCCTATAGCCGTATAGGATCCTATAGGCCACTTTAGAATCCTATAGGATCCCATAGGAACCTATTGGCGAAAAACCTATAGAATCCTATAGGAATTTGTCCTATAGGATTTTGTCCTATAGAATCCTATAGGATATTTTTGCCAGGGTCCAGCCGCCTCCTGTTCGTCAATCAAACTGGGAAACCAGTTCGATGCGCACAGGAGATGTCCAGGCACTAGGCAGCAGTTACCGGTAATTGCCGTGCCGTAAACCCCACCAGTTTAAGAAAGGCTGCAGCTACCTACGTAAGTGAACTTGTTTGATTTATTTTGTTAACTGACATGACAGCTGAAGCAGCCATTTGTTTCATGTTGCCATGAAACAAAGACAGTAAAATACTGTAGTAAAGACAACTTGGAATTTTTCATGATCAAAAAAATTCTTACAATGTTTAAATTCTTTAGACATTATATATTAACCTTTAAATGGTTACAGTCACTACCCATTTTCAACTAAAAGTTTTAATAATTTAGTAACATACAGTACATACCAATTTCATTTCATTAAAAATATTCTGTTTTAATTTTCATGGTCTTATTGAACATTTTTTATGCATAACTGAATGTCGATTAGATCATTATAATAATATATTGCCTTAGATAGCTATGTATTCTATTGGCCCTCCAAAGAAATTAACCAAGGTGATATTTCTGCCAGAAAACTGAACATGTGAAATGTATTGCCTGGCCTACATAGTAGGCAGCTCCATTTGATTGGATAAGATGATACTTAAAATGGAAAGCCAACCCAACTCAATCCAGAGTAGTGTGCCATTTATCTGTGTTTGAATGCGTACTAGTAAAACCAATCTTATTTTAAGTACAGTTGATGATGAATAATTAGCAAGATTTTTATATACGCAATGCTTGGCATGTATGAGTAACATTTTGCAATCGCTATCCTAATATTCAAATGATACTGTGTCTTTCTGTTGCCTTCTCTACCTTCAAATGATTCATACAACTTTTGATGCAATTCTAATTGTGTATGTGTTACTGAAGCTTTGTCTACACTAACACATTTCATCAAAATTTCAAATAAAATGTAATGGAAAATAAGAGTTGAACATGTTTAACTTTTTTTTAATCAATTTCATAGTATGTGATATGACATCATCATACCCATATATGAGCACATCACTTTTTTTTTAACATATGAATTAGCAAATAAAAATGCAAATAGATTTTCAAAGATTCATAGTTCATTCACTGATGAAGACCATGATTGGGTTTAATATGTAAAGCATTTTGCCTATGATTTTATAGAATATTACTGTGCATGCTCATCACTTAATCTGTTTGGAAGTTTGTAGAATGCTACAGTACCATGTACCCTAATCACTCATTCTGCTTTAAGTAAATCTGTTTTGTAGCTTTTACTGTGATGCTAATCACTCAATTTATTTTGTAACTTGTAAAGTTTTGCTATGTCTGCTAATCATTCATTTTGTTTCGTAGTTTGCAGAATGCTACTGTATCATGAACCTTAATCACTTGATCTGTTTTGTAAATGCAACTGTACCGTGAACCCTAATCCATTAGGCCGACCAGCCCTCCATAAACTAACGTTAGAATACCGCACTTTCGGCGGTAAACAACAATTAAAACCTCATAAAAAGGGCAACTAATCCGTTTACCTATAATTGAATCCAAGGACACCAGTGTTAAACACTCAGTACTTATCCTTGATAATGTGTTAATCCAATTAATATAGTGAGATAACCCTAACGTTAGTTTATCGAGGGCGGGGTGAGCTAATGCACTACCATCCAACTAGTATTATTACACAATTTATATATCACATCGCAGTCTGTTTCACATAATATTGAATGCTAACATAGCTCAAAATGTTGGGATTAATAGAATACTGTTTGGCGGGGTATCTTGAAGGCACTAAAGAAGAACAGAATTGTACATGTCTATTAAAAAATACATCTGTAAGTTTAAATTGAAACAACATTGAAGAGATGGTAGAATCATCATATGTATGTCATGACCCTGTTGATTTTTACATATTTTAGTGTATATCCTATTTTCTGAAACATTTTAAATGACTTTGACCACACATGTGTATATCTAACCAAGTAAATTTTATATGATCAATTGGTATGTTCTTAAATTAATACTGTATAAAGTAAATGTAAAGTTAAAATATAATTCCTACTTCTTTCTCATATTTATTGTAAAATATACAATATACAGAAAGTATACATTAGTAATTCACTCAGCCACACAAACCTTTTAATGTAGCTAGTTCATTGACATAATTTAGTGAAAGGAATATTAACTATTATTATTTTTTAACGATAATTATAGTATTAAAAACTGATTTAAATACAATTAATGCTACCTAACACTCAGTCCTCTCCTGTTGCAGATTCAGCAAGATGGAACAGACTTTCAGGTAGGACTTTATAACATCATTACTATAAATATGACCATGTTTTCCTACTGTATGTTCATTCATGTATGACACAAGAAAACACTCTATGATTTTACATTTATGAAAACTCTTCTGTAGGTTGTCTCAACAAGTATGCAAAAAACAATATCTGATATGTTGGTAAGCAATAATAATTTTAAATTTCAAATATATTTTAATAAATTTTAATAGTTTTATTTTGGGAATAAACCAACTGTAAACAAAAAAAGACATTGAATTTATGTATTTGAAACTTAAATTACAGTACTGCACATAATAATGAAATAATACTTTTTTATTTCCTAGGCTTTGAATGAAACTACTGAAACTGTAAGTGTACAAGACTAAAATAAGTTATCTCTCAATCCTATTATCAAAGTTTAACATCATCACAGGTTTACACTAATATCTGTCATGCTTTAATATGATGCCACTGAATGAGGGGCAAATATTCTATAGATGGGTTGAGTCTTTTAATGTATTACAATAACCAGGGAGTTGTTATACACTATTGCATTGATATGTAGACTTGTTTGGAGGCTTGGTTGGGGTGGGGGTACAAGGTTCGTTTGTGTTCATTTTGAGGGTGTTATGTTGGAACCATGTTATTCTAAAACATTTCAGGAAGAAAACAAAATCATCTAATCTTTTATTACAGTACATTTTCTTATTTGCTAGGCTCCGAACGATGATGATGTGCCTGCTCCATACGTACCTGTAAGTTTTCACGCTGCAAGTTAAAAATAAGATGCATATAGGAAAAATTGAAATAATTTCATTTTCAGTTTGAGCTTTTTTTTAATATATATGTCTAATCTTTTTATGTCAGTACATGTGGTTTTTAACTACTTTTATTTATCACTTATACATTCTCTTACTTTTATAATCGTAAACAATCATATGTCTTAACTAAACTGAAGCAAATGAAAAGAAGGCATTAAATCATCTAAACTTGTATTACAGGATGTGAAGATTAATGAATACTTTTTTTTTGCTAGGCTCTGAATGACGAAGTTCCCCCACCACCATCCCAACCCCAAACTGTAAGTATTCCATGGAATATGAACTACTGTTGTCATTCCACTTGTCTTATTTTTTTGTCAGTACATTTGGTTTTTAACTACTTTTATGTATCACATATACATTCTCTTATTTTTATATTTTTAAATAATAATAATAGATTAACCAAAATGAAGCAAACAAAAATAGGACAACTGTACTTCAAAATCACGGTTATCCCATTATGTACTTATATTTTCAATAAATTATATTTACAGCCAAAACCTTCAAAATATGGGCCAAAATCCAAATTTGATGAAAATGAGAAGTTGATGACCTCCATTTGGGCTCTGTTTGGGGCCCAAATAATGGAAGGTCGCGTGCCGAAAAAAGAAGTGAGTTTCTATCATTAAACTATATTAATGTATTCTTCTTATACTATATCTTAGTGTAATGTTAAATCTGTATGTCCACATACACGGAACTTGCAAGGTATGCCTTGCGTAAGTCTAAAAGATGTTGCTCTTGAATTTGCTGATTCAATAATATATTTCGGCCATAAAATTTGTGATAGTCTTGATTGAACAACAATGGCACAAGCATGCTGTTTGTAACTAACAGCGTACCTTCATTTTATGAAAGTGCCTGCAGGATAAAGAAAGAATATATAAATAAATGTAATTCATCAAAGATGGTTCCGACTAATTTATTTATTTTAAGAAATTAAGGTAGATCTGTAGCTTTTGGTTATAAGGGCGCAATGATCTAATTTATTTATACCCACAGTAAAATTTATTATGTTTGTACAATATTTATGTTCTATGAATACAATTATCTGAAATAATAGAATGCATGAATGAATTACAACTTTAATTGTAAAAATATTCCTGTTGACAATTAACCCTTGCTTTATATAAATGATGTGAACACTAAACAAATACTTTCACTACAAAATTTGTCATTATTTTTTTTTAGGCTCGCCAAGTATATGCTGCTAATGCAGAGCTGCATGCATTTCAGTTCCAGCAGCTATATGATAAAATGCGGCGAATGTACCCTAAGGTAAGCTTTCATTTTCAAATATATCATTCATCAGCAAGACAAAAGAAATTATCAAGACAAAATTTTGAATTACTGTATATGCTTCTGGGAGAGAAAAAAAATTGGTCCCAAATATTTTTATCACTGATTTGTAATCATAATAGATAGACTCACAAGAAAAATGTTTGAAGACCTTGAATTTATTTTTCAGTCCAAACAACATTTAAAATACTGTAGGAAAATATAAATTAAATAATTATTAATAAAAATAGTCCTAATAAATAATTAATTAATATTCTTTCTTCGTAGTACAAGAAACTTTGAACTGCTGCAGCACCACCACAAAACCACAATGCTGTGTATATATATATATGTGACCCGATCTGGCAAAACCCTACTTTTGTCGAAAATTTTCTAAATTGAGTTTTATGCTGCATTTTTGGCCGTTAACAGAATTGGTTCATGGCACCCGGCTTTTGGGAAAACACGGGTTATAAATCCTGCTGGTTTGTTGAATAGCAATGGGTTCTTAAATTATTTAATGCCACTGAAGCCCATGAGATGAAGTGAGTGATTGTAATGGGTTTCTTGTTTACATTCCAATGGCTATATGTTGCTGGCCAGGACTCTCTTGTTAACTCCCAATGGACATTCTTAAAACCAATTAAAGTTAATTTTATGGAGCTGCTAACAGCTCCCTCTGGACCATTTGACAGCTCACTCTCAACTACTAGACAGCTCACTATGGACTATTTTTGCATAAGGGGACTTTTGCCTCATGATTGGTATTATTAGATTCCTCAGATAATAAGCTATGTAACAGCATTTAGTTTAATGAAATTGGATGAAAATTGAGAAGTTATGGGAATTCTACTACTTGCAAATCAGCCAAATCAATCTGAGTGGTTTCTGACAAAACAGTGTTCAAACATTCCAAACAAAATTTTTTCGACAAGCGTACATACGAAGCACGCTCAAAAGCTAAATACATTCTTTGAAGCACGCAGCGTCTGTATGCGTCTTAAAATGTTTGTGCGACGCTAAACGAAGCATGTAAATACATGCTAAGGCTAGCGTGAAAATCGATCTGCCGACAAAGAGAGGGTTTTGCCAGTATGGGTCACATATATATACCATTTTATCAGATTTTTTTTTGGAACAGCGCCACCAAAGTCTCGCAACTCACTGGGGGACTTCCAGCGGCCTAACCATAGCAGCTGGCTGATCACAGACAGAGCACCACACATCGGATCGCTCCACTAGAACTATGCAGCAGCAGAACTAAACAGAAACACAATGTTTTACTAATTACTGTATGTAAACATCATTGAAAGAGCTTTTTAAGACTTGCACTTGTTTTTGATAATCTAAAATATTTTGTGCTCATTAGTAATTTAGTTTAATCGTTTAGTTAATTCATGATGGTAACTACGTAGAATGAAATGCTAGGCCTCTGGAAGGCCCCTATTGGTAGTTGCCTCAGGGCTTGAAATTCACACTAGCAAACTAGCAATTTGCTAGTAGGTTTGTCATAATTGCTAGGTAAAAATTCACAAACCAGCAAATTAAAAAAAATGATTGCTAGTTGGAATATATATACAAAATATCTTGTAATCTCTAGTATTAAACTAAAACTAGACTAAACTGATCTACAAAAACTAATACAAATTTTATTTATTTATTTATTTTTTTTTTAATTATGAAAATCGACTAAAAATGCTTATAAACGACGAAAAACAATCGTTTTTTCATCTTGAGCAACAGGAACATGATGTGAAGTCCGCCACCAACATTACTTTTTTTAAACCTTGGCAACAAGCAAAGTAAGCAGTGTGCAGAAAAAAAATCGCTTTCCTCACATCAAATGTGTTTGTTGACGAAAGTCACGGGCGATGCGATCGGTAGTAAAGGCGAACATATTTAATTTGGTTCTTTTTAGATAATAAACAATGTTTCAGATATGATAATAATAATTTACTATGAACCCAAGACAAATAATAGGTTACAACCTAGGCTTCAATTGGCAGATGTTTTAGGCCTAGCCTACTAGACCCTATTCTGGCTAGGCCTCCTAACCTAGGCTAGGCCTAGGCCTACTAATGCACCAGCGGCCGCCTACAGAACGTCTAGCCCATGCTTTAAAAGACCTAGGCTTATCAAAATAAATATTGTATAAACAAATCTTTTATGTAAAATTGAGTTTCTGTTATGGTCTTTTTCTGTCAAAGATTTGGCTTGCTACCAATGCAGAAAGTTTCTGAAATCTCTGGGCCTTGCCCCTAGCTAAGCCTGCCTAGGCTAGCTCGGCCTAGGCTAGTCTGGCATAAAAAAAAAATTCCCCACCCCCCTCCCGCCCCTGAACATTTCTGAGGGTGTGACACTAAACAAGTATAATTTTTTTTAATTTTCAAAATAATATGATATAAAATTAATATAAAATAAATTTTATTGTTTATTTTATTATTTTGAAAAATTCCAATAAGCAGTACATATTTAATATGAAAACAAAATCACAGATACAAAATAAAAATTAAATGAATGATAAACTTAACTTATTTCAAAAAATAAATGAAGTATATAATATTAAATTGTTATTTTGTATCAGTGATTTTTTTGTTCATATTAAAAATGTTCTGACACTGAAGTGAATAAATGTACAAGCTATAGAAATCAATTTCTTATACTCATTTGGCTATTTCTTTGTGATATTTATTGTACTACACTCACCATAACAGAAAATATTATATTAAAACATTTAACAGACAAATTTATAGAAGTACTGTACATCATTAGTTAATTTCATACAATTTATTTTCCGAAAATAATATGTTGAGTTGGTATCAATATATATTACTAGTTGAGCAGCTCATTTTGCTAGTTACATTTTTAACAACTAGCACATTTTATCAATAGGTTGCTAGTGGCTGAAAAAGTAAATTTCTAGCCCTGTTGCCTTGTTATCAGAAATTTTCATTTCAAATTTCGCGAAAATGGTCTATACACACAAGTTGGTGAGGTTTCGCAACCTTACAAAAACGTTAACGCAAACCACTACGTCACATTTTCATTCTTGTTACCGCGAACTAGAAAAATCTTGTTTCGCATACACGACACTGATGAATACAGTATACATGAATATCGAAACAAAAAATCAACATCTTGAAAGTTAACTCTTGCAAGGAGCCTACTACTAGGCCTAGGTGACGATAGTCCATCAGCTTCTCAACCAAAAGAAAAATATATAAACCAAACAAAACGTGTTATTTTATCCCTTGATTTGAATTAGCTAGC